AACGAGCGCCGTAACCCACGAAAACACCCAACGCCCACGACAACAACGCCCCCGGACACAAAACGACACCCGACGGGCACAAAACGACGCCCACCGCCCATGTACACCGCCAGCGCCCACGAAAACCATACCCCGCCCACGAAAACATCCCACCACCCACCGAAAAACACGAGCACCCACCGAAAAACACGCGCCGCCCACCGAAAAACACGCACCGCCCACACGACATACGACGGCACCACGCCGCCTACCAAAACCACCACGTCCACACCAACGCCACCCACGACGACGCCCCCAACGGCAACCAGCGCCCACGACGACGGCGACGACAACGTCACGAATAACGCAACAACGCGGACACACGACGAAAACGCGAACACGCGACGAGGAGGCGACAACGAAATGCGACACAACGATGGGATGCCAACGCGGGACGACGATGGCCGAGGTCCCAGCCACACTCCCTCTCCCCTCCACCATTCCCTCCCTCCCTGCCTCCTTCCCCCTTTCCTTGTCCCTCCCCCTTGCTCCACCATTCCTTCCCCCCTTTCCGCCCTCCCCCCTTTCCTCCCTCCCCCTTCCTTGTCCCTCCCCCTTCCTTCCTTCCCTCTTTCTTGTCCTTCCCCCCTTCCTCCCTCCCTTCCCTTGTTCTTCCCCCTTCCTTGTCCCTCCCAATAATAGAAATACACCCCCACCTTGTCCCTCCCCTACCCCCTCCCTTTAAGATAAACTATGTAATGTGTGTAGTAATACATTTCAAATACATCCCCACCTTGTCCCTCCTCTACCCCCTCCCTTTAAGATAAACTGTGTAGTGTGTGTAGTAATACATTTCAAATAAATTACAACTCAATCTATGACTTCTACATGTGAATTTTATAAGGAAATATGAGTGCCAAGTCATCAGGATAAGCTTGGAGTTGAAAAAAACTTACTCTGCTTGATTCCAGTCCTATTCCAGTGGAATTCCAGTGGAATGCTGTGGATTCCACTGGAATTCCTCTGGATTCCTCTGGAATTCCTCTGGAATTCCACTGGAATGACTCTATTCCTGCAGGATTCCCCTGGAATTCCACTGGAATGATCCCATTCCTGCAGGAATAGGTGGGGCACTGTAAAGTACTGATAAATATAGTGAGCACCACACCAAACTGTGGAAGATATACCCAATGTACTGATGGGGATTCCTCCTCGTCATCGGTTTCAATACACATCTCCACATAGCCTCTATCAAATTCTGCCTCAACGATCTCATGAGCCGTTTCAATCCATTCTTCCTCCCATCCAGCAGATCGGAAGTAAGTGAGTTTACGCTTGGGGTCGAGGACTGAGAAAAGAGTTAGATAGTGAGAACAGAATAAAAGAAGAGAACTTACCCATCGCAATCCAATAAACTTCGGAATGATCAGTCATGTTGTAATACTTATTTAATAACTGCTTTCCGATCAACATTGACGCTTGGATCGATGGCAAGTACTTCGCGTTGAGGGCACCAGATGCAAGGTGCTTATCAATGTAGTCCATGGCAGAGATAACCTTCGAAATATTTGGTGTTTGGCTGGAGAAGAAAAGTGTTGCTTGTTTGAAAATCTAGAGTAGACGTCAAAGAATGTCCGATGCGATGAGAATAGAAGTTACTCACATCCAGAATGCCTGCCAGCTGGCCAGCAATCTTCCACTCCTCTTCAGAAAGCTCATACGATCTCAGCTTCATCTCATGTATACTTGTCAAGCTATCCAAGGGCATACGATATGCGAGTGCAAACTGTAACATATCGAAGGTCGAGTTCCATCATGTAGCGACATCGCGTGGCATCATCCAAACAGAGAGAATTTTTTGTTTTGTGGATTTACATACCTCGGCGTGTTCTTCAAGGATAGATAACCATTCAGGACAGACGATGGTAGTTGAGTTCTTGATTGTGAAGGCAAGTTTATGCAACTATCCAACAAACATTGTAAGTCCAACTGTGTTAGGTTGAGTCTGAGTCTGAATGTACTTTCACCAACACCAATCATACTGGCTGCAAGCTCTCGTCAAGCACAGCTACCTCATCCGTCGACATCCCATCTCGAATGTCTGCCAGACCTTCACCATCATCATTTTCCTCTTCATCGCCGACCAGATCACTCGCCATTGCCACTTCCTTGCTCTCAATATCGCAAGCCAGGTCAGCAAGAGCCTGTGTAGCAGCATCGAGTGCCTCGCCTGCCCTAGCCTTTGGGAGGTCAAATTGCTTCATGACACTCTTGGCCACGAGGTTGAGAATATGGGTAAAGCAGCATGTACAGTTTGCCACGCCAGGAAAGTCATCTAAAAGTTTTACGAGTTCATCGATCATGACATCGTTTGGGGAGGCGTTGTCGCAGGTAATGCTGAGGACCTAAATAAAAGTGAGTAAACTAATTCAAAGTTGAAGAATATCATTGTATTGACCTTGTCCGCAATTCCGAAGTCATCGAGGATCTTTGCAAAGGCCGACGCAAGGTTCGAACCAGAGTGGGACTCGGCAACCTCAACAAGATCAAGCAGCATACACAACAGGACCCCATTCTGCTCAAGGTGGACAGTTACAGCAATATAAGCTTTGGAGTTTGGGGATGTCCAAGCATCTGTTCCAAAGCTTAGCTTCCCATCGTGTTCCTGGTTCAAAGTGAGTACAAATCTTCTGATATCAACAGTAACATATGAACTGACCTGAAGCATCTTAGTGATCCTCTTTCACACTCTAATGAAAACTTCTTTGACATCTCGGGAAACGGTTGAACGCGATGGTAAGTAATATTCAGGCCTCCCTGTTTTCATAAGGCAGCGAAAGCCATGGTCTTCAACTATACTGAAAGGGCGCATACTCTCCGCCACCCAACCAACGATCTCCGCACTGTCAAGTAATGTTCAGCATGAAGAGAGTAGAAGAGAGAAAGTTTCATACCGGGTTTCTGCCTTGGTGTGCTGGCGATGTGAGTACGTGATCTTCCCTTTCCCCTTCCGTTCAAAGGCAGCTGTAATTGAACCATCCTTGAGGTTTCCAAGGGTTGCGCAAGCAGAGCAAATGTCAACCTTCGCTTCCAAAGCACTATCTACGGTCTCAGCTCCCCAGCATCCAGTTGCATGGCACTTCAGGTTGCTTGTCAATTTTCGGTCCATCATGCCGAGATAGCACCGAACCATCCTCGCATTGGCCCCTTTGCACTTACAAACAGTCGCAGCGCAGCGGAATTCATGAGTGCGGCGGCCCTTGGCATCGTAGGTAATATCAGGGATGGGCTGGAAGAACGCGTAGACTGGTGAGGTCCACTCCTGAATCAGACACTCTGGAAAGAATGGTCACAGTGAGTCGAAGTTTTTGACAATGGCCAACAGGATACTTACCAAGTTCTGCCTCGTCAGTCTCTTCAACCTCCCCTTCCTCATCCTCTTTGTCTTCCTCGTCACTGGCATCAACGTCTTCCAAACCAGGCATCTCTTCATCATCAGAGCTACTACCCCACCCACCCGTCGCAACATCAGGCTCAACATCATCACTTCCATCAGCCACCTCAAGGATACAGGATGCATTTCGTGGTTGAAGACTAGTATTCCCAGTGAGGTCGTTGTCTTGGTCATCGTCGTCGGCATCGGCATCCTGAATGGAAGGTTGGTGTTGTTGGCATTCTGCAGCTATGGCCTCGAGCTTACGCCGTTTCACAGCAGCAACATCAACATTATTGGTAGAAGTAAGACTCGCAGCAAGGACACGTTTACGAGTGCCAGGAGGTCTAGGTTCAGGAATGGGTTTACTGTGAGTGGGTGCCATTTGTTGGATAAAACTTTCTAACATTGGGGCCGTACTTATAGTACTTATCTTCAGTGTCTCTCTTTTGGTTACCGACTATCTCAAAGAGGAGAGTTGAAGGGGGTGCATGCATGGGGCTCTGGTGGCGGAATTTTGGGTCAAGAACTTGTTGAAATACCTCCATAACTAGTGGAGTGCGAAGAAAACTGGGAGAGGGAGGAATGTTACTCAGTGTATTCAGCCATCTAGTCTCCTTCAGTAGCTCTGTGGTACTCCACCTCCATCTTTTTTCTAAATTGCAGTTACTGATACATCATGCCCGGCTGGGAGAAATTACTACTGTCTGCTACCCTGACCCTTCCAAAAAGCCACAGGTAACCCCACACCCGTGTCGAGGGTAAGGGTTTGGTGAGGGTTCAGAAACCTTGACCTCTACCCGTACCCCATGAACCCTTACCCGCAAACCCGTGCGGTGATACACATTGCATGGGGATGACCGTGAAAGTGCGAAACACGCAAACAAGGATCAAGCCCATCAGGAAAACCCTAAACACCTAAACACTCACACACACACACACACACACACTATCACAATCTCAGTGCACAAGTTCGAGGGCCTTTGGTATTAAGAAATACCACTTTTGTCTTCTTAGGTTTAAGTCTCAAGGGATTTCGTCTCAAAACGGGTTTTTATTATAAGGTGTGGTTTAGAATAGTTCAATAGAACAAAGTATGTCTTTCTGGGAACTTGGTCTCTTAAATGCAAAGTTCTTTGATCACAGTTTCTTTTATTAACACAAAACATGACTTCAATTGACTTTTATGACTCCTGTGAGTTTTTATTATGTGACTACACTCCAAAACTAAGGGTACAAGTACGCTGTCTCGTCTAAATGATACTGTGTTTTTAAAACCTCTTATTCAAAAGTCTCCAAGTAAGTTGACTCCCAAACATGCTGGCTTTGTTCACACTGTACTTTTCTGACCAGTGACCACGAAGAAATCTCCTTTAATTGATTACAACTGTCCACCTCCTAAGTTCCTACTTGGAGTGCAACTAGCTGGTCAACAGGGGGGCGATTGCTTGCCTTTTGACCTGCCAGCGCGCTCCTTATATACTCCAGGAACCCCTATCTATGTTTTACATGTGTTTTAATGCGGGATACTTTGGTCTGAATTACAAATATGAAATTTAATGAACGTGTGGTATATTTTGTAGTCTATCTCTGTGAACACTACAGATTTTGTAGTGTCGCGTCTTTCATTTTCAAACGCATCAGTGTTTGATGCGTACATGGAGTTAGCCGACATAGCTATTCTTAGCTTGGCATGATCTCGCGTGTTTCTTTCTATGGCCCGGTTTACCGATTTGACAGATGACATCACAAAATGATTAATGTTTCCTGATGCGTTGATGCGCATGCATACGTGTTTACCAATAGTCTTCGGCCTTCCGTCGTTTCCGAGTTTTTAATTAAAATGCCTTGTCTTGGCTCGTCTTTTCATTACAGAGGTCGGGAGACACTCCGAAGGTGTTTTCAAATGTCTTTCTTAATTGTCAGGGGGTTCTTATTATATTTCATATAATAGAATGTGTCTTTTTCTCATGTTTGTACTTGTGACGTTCAGACGCATCAGTCTTTGATGCATATGCGGGAACTGCCGTACATGACTTTCTGAATGGCCGTGAGCCACACTAAGTCTTCGTACGTTTACTACCTAGGTGTAGTTTAGTCTTTCAATGTTTCAGACATGCTGTTTAAGCGTCTATGTCGTCTATTCTGTATTTCTTGTATAAGCACGAGTTTTCACAATAAATCCATTATGTGTTTCTAAACCCTTTGGTAGTAATGCAATTCTTCTCCCTGCGTTGGGTGTTTACTCTAGAACCTCTTCGTGCTCTATTTCATGGTAGGTGAATCTTAGATAGGATCCAAGTATAATGTCACGACACGTACTGCTGCCAGTTCCAAAGCCTTGTCCTATTTTCAGATTCCACGCATTTGCATTTTTAGTCAACTGCGCCGGGTATGCACATTGACTCTTTGTATCATTGCAATTGTATGTAGTGTATTTATTAGAAATGACCTTTATCGGTAAAATCGTTAAAATTGAATTTTATACAGGTGAAATGGGAGCTCTTTACTCTCCCCCACCTATTCCTACCGGACTCCTACTGGATTCCCAGAATCCTACCGGACTGGACTAGGACTGGGACACATTTTATGTTGGCTGATCACCATACAAATTTTGTATCCTAGTCCTAGTGGAGTCCTAGTAAATTCCTACCAGACTGAACCCAAATCACCAGGAATTGTGGAATTCTACTGGATTTTTAAGGAATGAGTCCAGTAGGAGTCCAGTAGGAATTTCCGGGGACAGGGAGCCCAGTAGGACCAGCAGTTTGTCACTGTTGTTGTTATTATATAATATAATAAAAAAGCGCAACCTGACAGAATTGAACTCTCGACCTTATGGACATAGCGACAATACTATAGAGACGAGCACTTTACCAGTTACACTAGGAAGGCATTAGTATAGATCATTATTATATGCTCTATATACCAACGTACTGACCTCCTTCCTAGAAAGGACGTCGGCGAATTCCGCGAGTGGGAATTTTGCCCAAACCCAACAACACTCGACAACACCACCATCACCACCCTCTTGCTCACCCACCACGAACACGTCGCCCACCACGACCACAACGGACGATGACAACACGCGACCACGACAACAACGACGGCCACGACAGACGACGACAACAAACGACCACGGCACGCAACGACGACCCCACTCACGGACACGACAACCACCCACGAACCACGAGCGCCCGCCGACACGACAAACAAGAAAGACGAGGGACAGCGACCCGCTCCCACCCGCCAACGACGACCGTAACACCCACCACCACAAACGACGCCCGCCACCCACGAAAACGACAACCGCCGCCCACGAAAAACGCCCAGCGCCCATGAACGACAGCCGCCGCCCATGCAAACGACAAGCGCCACCCACGAAAAGCACCCAGCACACCCAAACGACATCTGCCGCCCACGAAAAACGCCTAGCGCCCACAAACAACATCCGCCGCCCATGCAAACGACGACCGCCGCCCACGAAAAACACCCAGCAAACCCAAACGACGACTCAGTGTATCTCTCCTCCCTGTCTCCTTCTCTCTGTTCCCCTCTCTCCCTCCCTCCCTCTCTCCCTCCCTCTCTCTCTCCCACCATCCTTCTCTCCCTCCCTCTCTTCCTCCCTCCCTCCCTCTCTTCCTCCCTCCCTCCCTCTCTTCCTCCCTCCCTCTCTTCCTCCCTCCCTTCCTCTCTTCCTTCCTCTCTTCCTCCCTCTCTTCCTCCCTCTCTTCCTCCCTCCCTCCCTCTCTTCCTCTCTCCACCTCTCTCACCCCCTCCCCCCTCCATCATTTCACTTCACTCACTTCCCCTCCTTCCATAGCTCTCTCCCTCCACCACTCCCTCCATCACTCCATCACTCCCTCCCCCTCCCTCATTACATTAGTAAAATATCTTTCTGTATTTAGTTGTCATTTCACAATACAACATTTGTTTAAATGTGAATTTTGAATAGAAATTTGAAGTTCTGACTTGGTAATACATTGAAGTTGATATTCCAGTGGGAATCCAGTAGGAATCCAGTAGGACTTCAATGTGTGGAGCATTTCATCTAATTTGTTTAAGTCCAGTTGGAGTCCAGTAGGAGTCCAGTAGGAGTCCAGTAGGAGTCCAGTAGGAGGGGGAATGGAGAAATATGTGAAAATGCCTTTTTGGAAATTTTGTCAAAATCCGGTAGGAATCCAGTAGGAATCCTACTGGAGTCCTGGAGTCCAGTAGGAATAGGTGGGGGAGTGATAAGTATTGTGAAATGGTTTCATCCGTATCAGCAGGTTTATGAACCCTTGCACAACACTACCGCTTATTGACATTGGGTGTGTTGCAGCTCATACAGCTGACATCCTTATATCTAATATATTTTAGAGTACCCCAACCTGCAGGAGCAGGAGAAGCAGTTTCCGACAAGGTTCTCGCAGCGTTGACATCAGCGCTAGCTGCGGATGCTCCAACAGCGCCGTTGTTCAACCCTGCGGCCATCAGCCTACATGATCTTGTAGTCCTGCAGAGCCTCAAGCACCCGGAATTGAATAAGGTTGCGAAATTTCACAACCAGAAGGCTGCGGGAACTAATGCAGCCATCATCAAATGTCTTCGTGCTCTGGCTATGTCTACTCTTGCTTCTGCTGCCCCCATCCCTCCTTCTCCCCCTCCTACTTCTGCTCTTACTGCCCCCATCCCTCCTTCTCCTTGTCAATCCCCAGTTTCAGCTTCCATCCCTGCTCCCCCTCACCCCACAGTGAACCCCTCCTTACATTATCCTTCTTATCATGCACCTACCTATCCTTCTTATTATTATGCACCTACCTATCAGTACGCGGTTTTTTGCAGTCTATAGACCAGTTTCGGTCTGCATCGGTTTTAACCGGTTTATGACCGGTCTTTAGGCCAATATTTTAAAATTATGAATCAGTAAATTTATTAACATCTCTAATAGCTTCAAAACGAGCCCAAGAACATTAAATCCATTAGGAATTGGTGCTTCTATAAAATAAGTCTGGTACATTTATTATTCCCAAAAGTAATTTACATTTTAATTCATATCTCTCTCGTTCTTTTACCAAATCGTACGTTCTTGGGTGCGTTTTAAAGGGTATTTAAGGGGCTACAAAAGGCCGGTTCACATTAACCGGTTTTTTTCCGGTCTTTACATTTCAAAAATAAAAGACTGTAACCGCAGGTCCGGTCTTTTGCGGTCTTGGTCCGGTCTGGTTACGATCTTTTTCCAGTCACGAGACCGGACTTCCAAACACTAGCGCGTCCACCCAGGCTTCTTCTTTGTGTACTTGCTGGCTCCACCGGCTCCCTGGCGTTAGTGTTTGAAAGTCCGGTTCAGTCCGGTTTTTTGATCCCCAGGGGCGTTAACCGTAACCGTAACCGGTCTGCCTTTTCCCCAGAAGTCAAAAGACCAGACTGGACCGCAAAAAGACCGCAGACCACGGTTTTTTGTGGTCTATAGACCAGTTTCGGTCTGCATCAGTTTTAACCGGTTTATGACCGGTCTTTAGGCCAATATTTTAAAATTATGAATCGGTAACTTTATTAACATCTTTAATAGCTTCAAAACGAGCCCAAGAACGTTAAATTCCGTTAGGAATTGGTGCTTCTATAAAATAAGTCTGGTACATCTATTATTCCCAAAAGTAATTTACATTTTAATTCATATCTCTCTCGTTTTTTCACCAAATCGTACATTCTTGGGTGCGTTTTAAAGGGTATTTAAGGGGCTACAAAAGACCGGTCCAAACCGGTTCACGTTAACCGGTTTTTTTGCGGTCTTTACATTTCAAAAATAAAAGACCGTAACCGCAGGTCCAGTCTTTTGCGGTCTTGGTCCGGTCTGGTTACGGTCTTTTTCCAGTCACGAGACCGGACTTCCAAACACTACCTGGCGTGCACAAACGAAGTAGTGGGTCTTGACCCATCGCTTGTTAGGCCTCTTGTTACACCATATCTCTTTTCTAACAAGCTCTATGTTCTTCCTTTCTTCCTCCACATGCACACACAAATGACTCCATTTCAGCCCATGAGTCCCACTGCAAGTCGTACCCATTCTCTCAATCATATTCGAAGGTCCTGATCAACTGATTGACAGGTGTGGAATGTGGTTCCTCAATGAAGGCAAGGCCTGGATCATAATTTGGAATATGGAAGGTCGTCATCGAATGCGGGAGAGGAATAACGCGCCCATGGCCCATCGTCAAAGTAAACACGTCAGCTGCATCAGAAATAGCATGCTCAGGAAAGATTGTCGAATTAAACGTGTCCAACATGTCGGAATTAGCTTGCCGGTGCAAGGATGTTGAACTGGTCGTGTCAGATCTGTCGGAATTAGCATGCTCGAGAGGGGGTGACATGTTTGAGGTAAATTTGAATGCAAAAACAGACATTTTGCGACTTTTTGAGGGGATGATGGCACTGAGAGTTGAAAATGTGGACATTTTATTGTTCTATTCTACTGTAGTTGAATGGTGGCCTCAGTGAGTTAAGCCAGGTCAACTTGAGGCATGTTCAAGGCATGTTTACGAACTGGAGAACCTGATTCAGTCTGGGGAGGGTGCAGCCAAACACAACCACCATAATTTCTAAAACGGGAACAATGGAGCATGGGGCTAAAAGTCAAAAGCTCCCAATGACATAAGTATATGTATATTTGATTGTTGGGCCCAATATAGCTGTCACATCAAAGCTAAGGGTTTATAGATTGGCCACATGGCTTAAATGGGGGTAATGTTGACTGTCAATAAATGATTGTATTAGGCTACAGTTGATTGTTGGGCCCAACATAGGTAAAGGTTAATGGTCAAGGTTGGGCCCAATGACACAATTATTAAGCTACAGTCGAAGGTTGGGCCCAACATCAGGTAATAGTTATTGGGACAGGTTGGGCCCAACAGCAAAATTCATATGATATGGCTTGTATGTTGGGCCCATGGATCAATATACACTATAGTTCCATAGGTTAGCCCAATGATTCTTTGGATTTTCAGGGTTGGGGCTTTGTTCTGTTACAACCGGCCCCATGGACCAGCTGTTTATCTGGACAGCTGCAGGCCAACCATTATCCATTACAGCTGTGGACCATCCGTCCCTTACATCCAGGGGCCATTCAGGCCCATGACAGTTCTGTTACCTGCTTTCGTTGTACCTGTGGATCGCCTGTTCCATTGCACCCCTGGTCTGAAAGTTGTTCTGTTATACCATTGGTGATACGGATGAAACCATCTCACCCGTATAAAATTCAATTTTAACGATTTTACCGATAAAAGGTCATCTCTAATAAATACACTACATACAATTGCAATGATACAAAGAGTCAATGTGCATACCCGGCGCAGTTGACTAAAAATGCAAATGCGTGGAATCTGAAAATAGGACAAGGCTTTGGAACTGGCAGCAGTACGCGTCGTGACATTATACTTGGATCCTATCTAAGATTCACCTACCATGAAATAGAGCACGAAGAGGTTCTAGAGTAAACACCCAACGCAGGGAGAAGAATTGCATTACTACCAAAGGGTTTAGAAACACATAATGGATTTATTGTGAAAACTCGTGCTTATACAAGAAATACAGAAAAGACGACATAGACGCTTAAACGGCATGTCTGAAACATGGAAAGACTAAACTACACCTAGGTAGTAAACGTATGAAGACTTA